TTCGTTGCCAAGACGTAGGTACCGAGGTGCGGGAATTCTAGCCCCCCCGGGGATGGGAGGGACCTACGGCGCGGACGTGCGCCTCTCCTCTAGCCTTTGTGTCTTGGTTTGTTTAAACGTGAACCCTTTGGAAAGAGCTATTGTGTGACTGCGACCGGAGAAGCACGCTTTTGTGTTCGAGGCGGGCTGCTCGGGTGGTCCTGGGATCTGTTGCGGGTGGGGAGTTGGAGCGTGGAAGGAGGAGCCCCCAGGAGGAGGGGTTGGGGGGAGGGGTTCCCTTAGTTCTGGAGCTGCAGGTGGTCATGCTCCTTTCCGACTCCAGAGCCAGGGGTAGCTTTGGTCCTAGGTGCTTGGGGAGGATGGAGGAGACGTGCTCGGCTAGATGGAGTGCGGGAGCCTGCGGCAAAGCAGCAGGGGCTTCCTTCGTTGCATCCGGGCAGAGCTCTAACTGCCACGGCTGCTCCTCATCTCTCTGTGGGGGGCGACGGAGGGGGCGGAGAGGGTTGGCGCAACCTGACACCATCCGGGCTCACGTTGCTAGGCTGGAGCCCCGCGTCTCCGCTGCGCCTGGGTGTGTGTCGGTAGAGGGAGGGATGGAGGGGGGAAATTCCAGAGGGAGGAGGGAAGATAGCCGGGGGGCTTAGGGAGTGGGGGTTAAAGCTAGTTCCCCTCCACGTGCGCCTCCCGGGCGGGAAGGGGGGCGTAGCGGGCGTGCCCAGCCCGGCGGCTCATTCAGGAAAGCAGGGACGAGAGGAAAACCCGGAGAGCAGGATATCTCGGAAGAGCCCGATGCCGGCTCTGCCTCTGCCGGGGGTTGGTGGTCGGCTGCAGGGAAGCCGGAGCTGCGGTCCTTGCTCAGTCGGTGCCTCTTCTTCCTCGCAGTTTTCCGCGCTTCTGGGTCTGACTTAGACAGGCCCGTCTTTGAACTTGATTGTACCGCTGGGGCCCGAGCAAGGTCTCGTGACTTGCAGGACTCGGGCTCCCGTCCGCCTTTCCCCTCCTCCTCGGCTCAGCTGGTAGCTGATGGAAGGTGCATCACGCGAGCGCTCCGGGCCACTGGAGGAGCGGGGCCGCCGAGCAGCCTGCCGAGGGCGGGCCTGCGGGAACTGGGAGAGCTAGGAAAAAACCGAAATCCTGCACGAAGGGGCTAGGGGAGCGTGGCAGCTGCCTGGAGACCGGCCAGCATCGGAGTAGGGCTCTCTCCCTCCCCTCTCTCCTCTCTTTTAACCTTTATTCCAAAATGTACTTGCAATACCTTCTCCCCTCCGCAATACGCCCTTCCTTTCTGCAGTACTCCCTTTTCCTTTGCAATGTCCCTTCCACTTTATAATACCCTTATCCCCTTTCCCAGATTAGTTTGACCAGGTACATCTCTTAGAGTAAATGCAGAATGATTGACATCAGCCACTACGTATTTACTCATTAGGTCGCCGTCAGGACCTGCTCCTGAATTCTGCTGGAAGAGATTGGGCTTGAATCCACCAGACAAATAAAGCTGACTTTTATAGTCGTCTTTTTTTTCAATAAAGCAATACTTGGACGTCTTCCTCATCTGCACTGTAATTGTAAATGCTTTACAGTGACTTCTGTTCTTTTGGGGTCCAAGGCATTTCTGAGTTTGGGAGATTGGTTCCTGGGTTTCTTGGACTCCTGAGATAGTCATCTTTAAGATGTCCAGGCATATCTGCTTCTCTGTCAGCTCCTAGAGGAAAGATAGCACCTCGATAGTTGTAGATGGTATCTGATGCATTCAGGTCCTGCCGCCTTGTTTCATGTCTCCCACCTCCTAGCAATTCAGGTCTGTTTTGTTTTTAAGTGGGATTTAGTAATTGTGAAATCGGTCCGGTTCTTACTTCTTAGTATACAGTGCCTTGCACTTAATAACTGACTGACTGACTTGGAGATGGAAATTTGACCTTGGGGATTTCATTCCTTGGTAATCCATTCTAGTGGGGGGGGGGAGAAAAGAAGTCTGTTCCTTGAGAGCGCTAAAATGCAGTTCCTTGCATTTAATCTCCCCTTCGATTTCCAGCCTTCGTAGCTGCGAATAATTTGGTGGCTGCAAAAATTTGATTGCTACAGCAGTTGATGAGTCCTTTTGTTACCTGCTAGTTACCTGCCACTCCTAGGGAGTGGCATTATATTCTGTAGTCAGATAGATGATAGGGTTTGTATATCAAATTTCTTGGTCTTAGACTTAAGTGCCTGGTGTAATTGAATGTCTGTGGAAACTTACCAGTGCAATTTGGAATGCATTTTCTCGATTTGGAATAAAGCCAAATTCTAAAGCTCTGAGTCGGGAAAGGCAAATTTCGGGAATAAAATCTTATTAATTTTTTTTTCATTGACTCTATGGGGCATTTGAATAACCCAGTCTCGAAAGGTGGATATGTTAATGTTGGGGTTCATGGTAGGATTCTAAGGGTCCTTCAGTATTGACAGAATTACTCCTTGAATGTTTGACTTTTGGAGAGTGCGAGTCATCTTTTTTTATTTGGGTCACCATTACGCTTCCATGGTCCTGCACGTCTCACACGAAGAGAAATATCTTTTAAAGCTCAATTGCATTCTTAGGCATTCAAAGCACTGGGGAAGCGAGCGGGCAGTGCCGCTGAGGAGGGGCATTCTTGAAAGCAGATGGATTGCCTTCCTCTTTTCCTTTGAAATCTCTGGGGAGTGTGCAGCTCCATAAATTTGAACCTGGAATTATCTCTCGGAACCCTTTAATTTACGTATCTTTGCCTTTCACCTAACTTAATTTCTGATCCCAGACAAAATATCAAAAGAGCCTCATTTTGTCTCACAGAAAAGGAGAAATTACTGTCGTTGCAAGACGTCCTTCTTCCCCGTTTGGCTTTTATGATGCTTTACAACCTGGCTGCCACCCATCTCTATAGTTCAGCTAACCTGACCTTTTTCTCACAGGTGTCACTCCTACCTGTCTTGCCTGAACTCTTCCCCTCCCCCTCTAGACTGTCTTCCTTAGCCCCAACTAAAACCTCACCTAAAGGAAGCCTTCCCCCGTCCCTCTCAATTTCCAGCGGCTTCCTTCTGTTAATTATGTCCTATTTATCGAGTTTATAGCTTGCTTTGCATATAATTGTATGTTGTCTTCCGGTATAGATTGTAAGTTCCTTGAGAGCAGGGACTATCTTTTGCCTCTTTTCTGTACCCAGCACTTAGCACAGTGCTTGGCACCTTATAGGCACTTAATAAATGTTGATTAATTTTTTTTCTTTATCTCTAAATATTTATTGAATGTCTGAAGGACCAGGCATTATTGCCAGATTTTGAGTTTAGAGGGATGGCATAGTAAAAGACTGATCTCGGAGTTTATCGGAATTGGGAAGAGGGTTGGCAATGTCAGGGATGTGCATGAACGCTCAAGAAATGTGTGGGGAAAATTTACATAATAATAATAGCTCACAATTACATAGAATCATAGATTCTCAAAGTTGGCCAGCAACCAATGCTTCCAGAAACAGATAAAAGTTTAATTAGGAAATGTTTGGGGCAGCTAGGTGGAGAAGTGGATAGAGTGCCTGGAGTCAGGAAGACACATCTGATTTGAACTCAGATACTTCCTGGCTGGGTGACCCTGGGCAAGTCACTTAACCTTGTTTGCCTCAGTTTCCTCATCTGTCACATGAGCAGGAGAAAGGAAATGGCAAACCACTCCAGTATCTGCCAAGAAAACCCCAAATGAGACACAAAGAGTTGGACGTGACTGAACAAAAAAGGGAAATGTTTAACAAAAACACAATACGATGTTTTTTATTTTCTAAATCATTATGTTTCCCGAATTGAGTTTGACTCCACTGATCCAGGACATTCCAGCCATACCTGAGCAAGAATCCCCTCTACAACATTCCCGACAATTGTTACCCACAGAGCCAGAGTTGGAATGAACTTTATAAACTAGCATCTTAGCCCAACCTGTAACCTGAATAAGAACTCACTATGTCCACAATCTACATAACAGGAGGTCAACCCATCCTTTGATTGAAGACCGTGAGTGATAGAGGGAGTCCAATGGCTTCTTGTGTGGCTCTAATTGTTTTTTATTTAAAAAAAAAAAGTCCTCCTGTCTTGCTGACCGTGCAAGTATAGGGGCAACTCACAGGCCAATCCCATTCTGCTCTGTTTGCCACTTGGGCCAGTTTGCCCATTCGATCGCTCACCATATTAATATCAGACTTAGTGCTGACCTTAGCACAGTGCCTCAAACGTAGTAGGGTTGATTGAACCATTTGTGACTGAGGGCCTGACTGCTTTTGGAGTTAGCCTGTCATGAAAGGAAAGGATCTCATTTTTGTGAGGCTTGACTTCTCCCTGCTGGCTCTCAGATTGATGCTGCCTTATCTAGATGTTTACCCAGCATATATGTATTAGACATTTTAGAATTTGGCCAGGAATTGGAATCAGCTTCACTGGCCTATGGTTTGTAGAATATACTCTTAATTTTTTTTTTTTTTTAATCTGAACATCTTCCTGTGGTACCTTCTGTTGAGTATTTTTCAGAGATCTCTGACTGTAGTTCAGCAGTCACATCCACTGATTCTTTCAGGACCTAAAATGTTTCATTTGTAATGGATGACTAGAACTTGAAGGACAAATACCTTATCTTGGGTATCAACTCTATTAACTATTTTTGTTATGCTTGTTACAGTTCAAAGATCAGTTTCTTTGATGGAGGGAGGGGGAGGAGCCCACAACAAGGAGAATAAGGGTTGAATGGTTCTACCTTTTCTCCTTTATCGGTAATCATCTCATCTACTCTGAGCATCAGTATTCTCCCTTTTCTAATCTCCCCCTTTTTTTTTCTTCATAGGATAGGGATTAAGCCCTTATTTCACTGGTTTGAGAAGTCTTCTATCTATGGAAGTTGACAAGTCAACTTCCTTTGCTTAATTTAAGAGCCTTAGAGAATTGTTTGGAATCTTGAGAGATTAAGTAACTTGCCTAGACATTTACAAGGCAGCTAGGTGGCACAGTGGATAGAGTGCCAGGACTGAAGTCAGGAAGA